CCCTCCCTCCCTCCCTCCCTCCCTCCTTCCTTCCTTCCTTCCTTCCTCTGTTCTTTTCTTTTCTTTTCCTTCCTTCCTTCTCCTTCTTCCCATCTCTTTCACCTTCTTTCCTTCCATCCTTCCTCCCTCCCTCCCCTCCCCTCCCTTCTCTTCCCTCCCCTCCCCTTCTTCTCCTTCTCCGTCACCTTCCCATCTGTTTCCCCTTCTTTCCTCCCCCCCTCTCCTCCCCTACATTCCCTCCCCTCCCCTCCTTCTCTTCCTCCTTCCTTCTCCTCCTCTCTTTCCTCCTTCCTCGTTCTTTCTTCATCTTCGTCTTCCGGGCATTTTTCATATTCCTGAGTTCAACTGTAAGGTCCGCCTTATGAGTGAGTGCCCTACACAACTCCTTTACTTGGTCGACTCCCTTATTACGCAACTATTCCCCTCCTATATATTTCTTAGAGACCAATTTGTTTGTTTTTGCTTTTAGCAAAAGTAAATTTGAAGCTTTTCCTTAAATCGCTTAATTGCAGGTATTGCACATAGCATTTTTGGTTAATTTGCTGTTTTTCATTCCCGCTGTGTTAAACTAGTTAGACAAGACGGTATTTCTGTGAAAGTTTACAGATAAATACTTCTGAAAAATGCCTACATTTCCTCTAGAGTCAGGATGTGTCGTCTTCTTCCAAATGTCGGTTGTGGAACGTCTGCAAGATGAGCTTCTGAGCAGTCAAGCGCAGACTTGTCCCGTTAAGTTTTTTTAGCTCTGGGGAAAGGACTTGAACATCAAACAAGCTCAAAATGCAGATGTCTGCATGCTTGGAGCATTAAAATAAAATCTCTCACCCACCCCCGCCAAAGGAGAGGCAGAAGCAACGTTTCATATGGAACAAATAATAGTAAATAAGGACTCTTCCTCATTCTTTGAACGAGAATTCATGATTTCTTTTCTTTAAGTGTTTTTCCCATTCCTTCTCCAAAAACCTTCCCTCTGGTAACTTAAGAACCAGGGATTTCACTGAGGCCACAAATGGTCAGCTGGGATCTGTGCAATTGACTGCATTTAGACGTCCCTTCTAAGATCAGCCTCTACTTCGCTCCTTTATCTTTGCCTCTCAGCTGTGCTTCGACCTCTAAAATTCAATACTTCTGTCTCTAAAACCAGAGGTGGGATTCAGCAGGATTGGACCAGTTCTGGAGAACCAGTAGCAGAAATTTTGAGTAGTTCGGAGAACCAGCAAATCCCACCTATGACTGGTCCCACCCCCATGTATTCTCTGCCTCTGATTTGAGTCCCAGCTGATCGGCTGGGTCTCCTTGGGTTGCCCTGCAAAGGGAGAACAGAGCTGCAAAGCAGGCTAGTGGGGTGGGGAAGGAATGGGGATTTTGCAGTATCCTTCCCCTGCCACGCCCATCAAGCCACGCCCACAGAACCGGTCGTGAAAAAAAAATTGAATCCCACCACTGTCTAAAACTATACCTAAGCCTAAGCTTAAACCCATCCCTACTTCTGTAGTAAATAAATATTTGACAACCTGTCTCACCCACACTGCGGCCACCACTGGTCAATAGACAAATCCCTTCTGGGTCAAAATTTTGGACATGCTTCAAAGGGAAGCCACTAATCTGTCTTTGGACACAGGATTCCTCGAGCGATCTATCCATAAATGCTATTTCCACCATGGGAAGGATTAGCCTCTCTTTTGTACAAGGATGAATGGTTTTATGTTGTGGTTGTGAGCCACCCAGAGTTTTCAAATGGGCAACTGTGCCGATATTCGAAATCAATAAACTCAGAGCAGAATTAAGACGAAAACATCCTGGTGGTGCCTCCCAGCTGGAGACACCTCTGGTGTGGCACCACCCTTGCCTGAATATCCCCGCAAGGAACGAACTTGGATCGCTGAGACATGTAAAATCCCTTCCTAGCTCGGTCCATGTGTCATTTAAGTAGGTCTTCTCTCTTTCAAGAGGGTCTCCATTCTGGTTTTGCTGTCCTGGATGGTGTTGAGCGTCGCGTGGGGGCCGGCTGCCCCTTTGATTCAGCCCAGAAGGTCTGGATTTAGCAGTTGTGGGATCCACAAGGAAACGGGAGAGAGCTGTCAGTTTGGAAGTTGAGAATCTGTCCTTTGGGGAATTTCCTCTCTGTCTTTCTTACAGCTGTATCATTGTCACATCAAAATAGGCTGCAAAACGCAGGCATTTCAATCGTCGATCTGGGTTGTATTGCAAAAAAAAGAAAGAAAGAAAGAAGGAGAATGACTGGTTAACCCCCCTGTGCAGGACAAGATTCAGCTGCCTTGTTGGCAGCTAAAGAGAGAATTGGAAAGGGCGGAAAAAGATGAAAACAAAAATGGACTGAAATGAAAAGGCTTTTAACGTGATAAGCATAATTTATGTTTGATGGGGTTTTTTTTGTTGCAATGACTTCCAAGAGATAAAGTAAATAGTTGGTGGATACAACTAGAGAGAAAAAAAAAAAGAGAAAATGTTGTTAAGTGGGTGTTTTTAAAAGAGTATCTCCAGCTGGGAGGCACCACCAGGATGTTTTCATCTTAATTCTGCTCTGAGTTTATTTTATTTCGAATATCGGCACAGTTGCCCATTTGAAAACTCTGGGTGGCTCACAACCACAACATAAAACCATATCAAACAGTTGGGAAGATTTGCTGTTAGTTTATCCCTCTGTTTCTTTTTCTTTTTCTCCTCAAATATCTAAGGAAGGTTGATGAAAACAGAAAGTAGAGATTAGGAATTATGACCAAGACAAACTCAGACCTATCTGGAAGACAGCTGGATGGTCTTGGCGAGTGTAAAGACTTCCCAAAGTCACAAAATGTTTGTACTGGTCAGGAAGAAGGATGTAGAAATGGCTTTGATGCCCAAGTATGCTTGAACGATGGGCATTGAGTAAGAGTTAAGACTTTTAAGCAGTTTATGGCTTAGGACCATGTACCGAGGGCCCATCTTTCTCTAAATTTGTTCGTCTTTTGATACTTTTTTCCAGAGGTTGGAGGAGAGATGGACAGCTGTTAATGAAGATCTTCTTGGGTGGTCTGTTGTTATTTTGGGGTGGACACACACACGCACACTGAACACTCAGTGCAGCTTGCAAGGTTATAGAGACGAATGGCGGGATTCAAAAAATGTTACGACCGGTTCTGTGAGCGTGGCTTGGTGGGCGTGGCAGGGGAAGGTTACTGCAAAATCCCCATTCCTTCCCCACCCCACTAACCTCCTTTCCAGCTCCGTTCTCCTGTGCGGGGCAACCAAAGAAGACCCAGACCATCAGCTGGGACTCAATGGGAGGCGGAGAAGAGATGGGGCCAGTCAGAGGTGGAATTTTCTTCGAACTACTCAAAATTTCCGCTTCCAGTTCTCTAGAACTGGTCAGAACCGGCTGAATCCCACCTCTGACAGAGACCTTTTTAAAGATATTTTAGGGAAAATTGACACAAATACTATTATCAAGCAAGGGTGAATGGTTACATCACCAGGAAGGAATGGAATTATAAGGGTAAGTAAAAAAAAAAAAAGAGTTAATCTGGAAAGCTAGCTATGGTTTATTGGAAAAGGATCATAAGCCCTCCTGGTAGACATTTCGGTAAGACCCAGGATGTCTTGGCAGTTTCCATTTGAAGGAGATTTCCCAGGTTGTACCTGATGCAACGTTGCTCTGAAAAAACTCTTCCGACATCTAGAGCCGTGGATGTGGCAGGAACTGGAGATGTTTGGCCTCTCTAACAAATCTGACCCAAGGGCTCCTCCAAACATTACATTTTTTTTTTTTTCAGAGGCAGCACATCCCCTGCAAGCTGCTTCCACTTCTTCATGAGTAACAGATGACTTTCCGAAGGAGAAATGCACATCTGGCGTTCTTCCCAGGCAGCCTTCTGAAAAAGGCAGCTTGATAAATAATACTCCAAAGCGCACACAGGAGTAGGGAATTGGTCCTGGATATTGCAGAGGCGAACCTGTGAAACTCAGCAGGCACAAACCCAGAGTTTTGACCCATGCCTATTGCTCTGACCAAGGCTTTCTGAGACCAGAATTAAACACACGCTTAGTCCGAAAAACGCTTGTTTTATTTCAACGCTGGGAATTATGTGCATTCCCAGCCCCTAATAAATCCCAAACAGTCCCTCGAGATAAGCATCCACCTTTCTCTCCTTTGAATGGCTGCCAACAACTAAAGTGCCAAATTAACTGAAAAAAAAACACAAGTACACAGAGCTTCAAGGTTGAATCCAAACAGAGCAAACGACTTTGCTTCCTGCAAAGGTTTCTCTACCTTTTCCTGTCCTTTGTACTTTATGGGAGAGGCAATCACCTCCCAGCCTTGCGCCCGAGTTGCCCCTTTTGTCTTAGCTGTTCTTGCCTTCTGGCAGCTCTGCGCACACGAACACTGGGAACAGGCTCCCCGAGATCCTCTTCCTCGCTGCTGCCAGACTCTGGAGGCTCTGGAGTTAGCACATAACTCCCAGATGGCCCTGGCCCCATCTGTCCATCGGATGCAGGACCCTCATCCGAGTCCTCCCCAGACTCCCGGACTGGACCCCATTCTTCCCCACTGTCCGATTCTGCTGCCGGCTGCACCGGCTGCCGGCGAACCACAACACCCATTGACCTCTGTCCATGTAGTAGATGAAAGGGTGGGTAGATGCTCTCCTCCTCCGTCATGCCATCCAAGATGTTTGTTTTGGAAGAAGGATTTTCTACTGCCCTCCCCTGTCATGTAGAAGGCCACTACCACGACCGATCCTTTGCCTTTTGGTGGTCATAGGAGCTCTGCGTCTATTATCAGCCAAGAGGCTTAGTGCTTGAATCAAAGTCTTTATGGACTTCCCTTTACAGAGGAAAAAATAAGGCAATTGTCAAAGAGATTTATGGGAGGCCAATGAGCTGGGTGGGTAACGTAGTCTTAAAAAAAAACATCCTATGTTGACAGGAATTAAACCTATCTCCCTTGCTAATGAAAAAAGATTAATGAGAAGAGTTGGGTAACAGTTTATCAAAGACATTTTTTGTAATATCCTGGAAAGGTTGGAGAGACCAGAGAAAAAAATATTGTATAAAGGAAGGGATCCAGGAACTAGCAAGTTCTCAGTTGGCTGGAATTTAAATTTCCTTCCTGCCAATCTAGCCAGTTCTGCTGTGGAATACGTGCGTATCTTCTGCCTGACCCTTGTACCCAGGGCCAGGCCTTCTGGGCTACCCAAACTGGCTTTGGGGCAATTGAAAATATAATCTCACACAGAGGAGGCAACTAAGTCAAGAAAGTTGGTATACTGTTGGAAGCATGGATGTAAAATTGGGCATGGGCTGCCAGACAAATAGAATAGGTATATTTTTTGTCCTCTCCCTTCATGAGTTGGGGTACTTCAACCCCTGTTTTCTGTGTATTTCACAGAGCAGGATCTGCATAACCGTTGAATAACATTTGTGGTCATTTGCAGGACTTCAGTAGCTGGAAGGAAAATGAATTTCAAGGCTGAATGTAATTTTGGGGTGTCAGATTGCTAGCCCCCCAGAACGAGGGAACAAATTGAGGGTCTGAGGTTTTTGTAATCGTTGTGAAGGGAGTTGAAATTCCTCCACACCCGGGAGGAGCAACGGAGCAAAACGAAACATTGGCTCTAGATGTCTTATCTGCTGAGTTCGCATTAAACAAAATGTTCCCGCTAATTTACACCATGGAGAAAGGGAACAGTAGAAGCCGAGTTGGGGGGCTTGGGGAGAGAGGAAACTGGACTCCATCATATCTGATGGAGAAAATTGATCAAAGGTCATTTTCACCCAGCTGGTTGTTAAAATAATTGATTTTGCATAGTTGATTTTGACAGCGCCATGATGCCTTGCATCCAGCAGGCAATATTAAACCCAGCTTCCTTTATTCTTAAAACAACCCACTCCCCACATTTCTTTATTTCTGAATACTGATTGAAATCCTGCATGACACAGTTACACACACACACACACTCACACAAATATTGTGGGATACGCCCACGCATTACATTGATGGCTGTTCAACGAACCAAATTGTTTTGCACAAGTTATCTTTACGATTGATTGGAGGCTAGGTCTTCCTTATAAAAATGTGTCCTTCTTTTAGGCAGAGAGAGAAGAACTATGAACCCTGAAGGATCCAGGGTGACCATTGCTCCTTTTGCTCGCTAGATCAATTGCCTTTCCTGGCTCAAACTTTTCAATCTCAGGCTAAACGCTACCATTTTTGGACTCTCGATTCTTGGCGCCTCAAGCCGAGATTAACCGTAGCTTCTGGAGCCTAGGAAATATATATATTTGTGAGGTCTCGGGGTGGGTGAGTGAGAGATACCAGCAGCTTACATTTCTTTTTATCAGTGAGATAAAACTTCTGTTTTAGATAATCCAGCACGTCTGGAAGTCTTGTGAGATACCCTCATGGTTGTATCTGGGGCATGCCTGCTTTTCGACATGTGTTATCTGTTAAACAGTAGTTTGTTTTCTGATGATAGCAAAGCGTTCTCCTCCTCCCCCCATTCCTTTCACTGGCATTCTCTGTGGATAAATGTTGTCTGCAACCCGCCTCCCCTCTTCTTCACCAAGCGATTAATGCCTTGTGTGCCATGTTTGGTATTTGTTCTACAAAGCTTGCTTGAAGCCTGAGGAGATAATTGTTGGAAACTTGAAAAGTGAACCATGGGCTGCCCCCCAAGAATAGTCCTCAAGTTGTCCCTTAATAGGAGAATTATGAACAAGAGGGTGTGCTGCATGGGTATGACTAGATCAGGGTTCTTCAAACTTGATCGCTTTAAGACTGGTGGACTCCAACTGTCAGAATTCCTCCTCCAGTCATGTTAGCTCAGGAATGCTGGGAGTTGA